TGCGCCTTATGTACGAAAACAGACCCGTTCATCGACAGTGCGCCTTAAAATACGGTATGATGGAGGACTGGCAGCCCGCCCAGTGTGTACGTAGCCTCTCGCCCATTCTTATGAATTTATAGAAGTGTCATTGCATGAATGATACAAAATAAATAGATTCATTAGTTCAGTATAGTTGTTGTCTAGACGGTGCACAGAGTCAAATAAGGGAAAACTCTGTGTGATAAGGGTGGGTTGGTTTGGTTGATCTTTATTTGTGTCCCTGTGGTCATGACATGTCGGATACCGCTGTCATATTGGTTACAGCAGCCGTGTTTACCGGTGGTCTTGACTCACTCAGCAATGAAGAGTGCAACACTCACACTTACAGATGCACACATAACCATACATCTCGCTGAGTGACGTCGTCCCTGTCTGGTTCTGCAGCCGCAAACCTAGAATGTTTAGTCATTTTTCACCCAGAGGATAATTACCTAAATAAGAGAAAGGTGGAGTGTGTGTCTGTTCCCATGGCTGGTTATGTAATTTTGTCAGTGACCTTTTAAGCAACAATATTTTGCTTTCTGTCTCCTTGTGCGTTATGCAGTAGTCACACATAAAGGGATCGAATGTGGGGAAGGAAACACGTCAAGATTTATTTTTCTCTGTCTGTGTTTGTTCTAATCCTTCCTCATCCTCTCTGTTCTTTTCAGAGTGACCAAGTCCTGGTTTGGTGTGAAAACCACAGACGCTGTGCTCAGGTAAATACTACACACACTCACAAGCTTGGGCTATGACATAATACCAATTTGTTAATTTCGTCCAAGACTTACCAGGAACATTAAGCATATAACCAACCGCTCATTGTCCCGTTACCTCAGACATCAAGAAACAGTCCTAACCCCTAAACAAAATAGGAGCGAATGCCCAGGTTCGTCTTCTTTTAGCAGCATACCCTGCGCAGTGTCCAAAGCTATAGCCTGCCAAAAAAAACCTTCCCTGAAAATTACCTACACATTGTGCTGACACAGACCAAATCATCTACAATGAAGCCCAACTGATTCCTTAGCAGACCCTTACTATTTGCAATCTTATCTATCTGCCTGTTTTTTAAGCGGTATCTGCCTTTATAATGGTCGATAAATGAAAATTAAAAAGTAAAGAAGAGACAGGAGAAACATCCTTCAACCCAGTTATCAGTGTTGATATTGCATAGTTTGTCCACCAGAGGGCAGTCTGCACGTATCTGTTCACAACATGTGTTTAAAACATCGCAAACACAAAAACCAGCTAATCCGAGCAGAGTCGGGCAGCGTGGAAATGAGTAAATGAATAACTTCACATAACAAATGTTAATGGAGGTCTGTTTATGTTTTGCGTATCAGAAAGAAAAAAATTATTGAATATAATATATCTTTTCTAAATATCAGCCTAAGTTGCTGTAGCTAGTTGCTGTACCAACTAGCTACAGCAACTAGCTACTGCTAGCTACTGCTAGTTGCCATTAGCCACTGCTAATAGCAACAGTTTAGTTACAGTTTTCTCGTGATAAGTACAAATGCAAATGATGGCATTTATTAAGGTCTATGGAGATTCAGCAGGGCCGTAAATCAACTTCACCTGCATAAAACTCTGGCGCCAGAGTTAGCAGTGAGGACCAGTTAATTGAAAAAAGTAATTAGTTACTAATTACTGATTACTTCTCCATTAAGTAAACCCGTTACTCTACTGATTACTTATTTTCAAAAGTAATTAGTTACTTATTACTGATTACTTCCCCAAGAAAGTAATCCTGTTACTTTATTGATTGCTTATTTTCAAAAGTAATTAGTTACTTATTACTGATTACTTCCCCAAGAAAGTAATCCCGTTACT